GTCAACTTCGGGTCATTCGTGTCGGGTCGGGTTCGGGTCCGGAAACCTAACCCGTTTTTGAAAACAGGTCGGGTTCGGGTTGACCCGAATAGTTCCGGGTTCGACCCGAACCCGACCCGCTGACCCGAATTGACACCCCTACATATAAATAAAAATTTTGTGTTATATATGAATATAAAAACTTTGTGGTATATATATGCAAATTTCATGCAAAAAATTGAAATAAGAGAAAGGAAGTGAGGTTCCAACTCTCAAAAATTCCAACCTAATAAAGAATAATGAGTTCATGTCACCTTTTATCTTATTAAATAATAATACTAATAATTATTATAATTAAAATTATAATTATAATCATTATTATTATAATTCAAACCTAATTTATGTTATTTTTTGAAGAAATCGACCGAAAGAAAAGTTATCTCATAGTGATGGGATTCATTATTTTAATTTTCCTTAAAAAAAATTGAAGTGAGAAACTGATCTTCTAGATGGCTATTTAAAAACCTTAAAATTTTGAATAAAAAAAATATTTGGATAGAACATTGGATGGCAAATATGTAATTTAGCCATTAATACCGTTGGTTAGTGCACTAGAGGTTAACATGATGATTAATGCTTTTATGTTCATTCAAATAGATTCAATTGAAAGGAATAGATGTGGGGTAAGTGGTGTAAATTTATTGAAAAATTAAAGAATTTATGACATATGTGACATTGTGGGGGTAGCTTTATCATTATTTTGCTTTTAGGAGTTGTTTGGTTTGAATTAAAAGGGTTTTAAAGAATATTCAACATACGGGTATTTGATTTTAAGTAAAAGAAATGCAAATTTAAATTTTAGTATTTGAAATGCATCTTCTAATATAGTTTTGAAAGTTGTTATATTTGGGCAATTTTCAAATATGTCACAAATTATCTGATTGCCATCGATCCCTATCACTAACATCAATCATTGGTCAAAGGTCACTACCGGCAGACCCCTTGGACCCTTATCATCTGCTGCCCCTGTTGTCCATTGCTAGTCATTGGCCAATACTATTTGTGAGTTTTATACTGCATTCATTTTATATCAAGCTAAATTAAAAAAAAAAAAAAATTTATGGCATATGTGACATTATGGGGGTAGCTTTATCATTATTTTGATTTTAGGAGTTGTTTGGTTTGAATTAAAAGGGTTTTAAAGAATATTCAACATATGGGTTTTTGATTTTAAGTAAAAGAAATGCAAATTAAAATTTTAGTATTTGAAATGCATCTTCTAATATACTTTTGAAAATTGTTATATTTGGCAAATTTACAAATATGCCATAAATTATGTGATTGTCATCGATCACTTTCGTTAACATCAATCATTGGTTGTCATTATCCCCCGCATCTTCTTAGTAGTCGAAGGTCAATGCCGACAGACCCCTTAGACCCCTATCATATGCTACCCTTGTTGTCCATTGCTAGTCATTGGCCAATACTATTTGTGAGTTTTATACTGCATTCATTTTATATCAAGCTAAATTAAAAAAAAAAAAAAGATAATCACTTGCATTTATTTTACATTCATTCAAGCATTTCAAATGCATTGCATTCCTTTTTCATTTCATTCCACTTTACTCTGCATTCATTTTTTCAGCCAACTAAATGGCCCCTTGGATAATGTTAGATTATTGTTTGGTTGCTATTTTATTATTGAGAAGCTATTTCTTAAAATCAGATATATCAATTTGTGATAGTTATAAGAAAATTATTGTATGAAATTTTTAATATATATTTATCTTTGTAATATTCACAACATCATGACTGTTTTTAATATACATACATAGTAAGGTCAGCTACATGAATCATTTTTCTTCATTGTGTCCTATTAAGAGTCAAATATTCATTTAAATCTAATTAAAAAAGTTATTTATAATATTTTCTAACAAAGTCGTTTTAGGTCTACCTCTATGCTTCTTAATATATATCAAATTTAAGACATCTACTCTCCTAACTCAGTCATCGGATGGCTGATGTTTTATGTGATCAAACTATCTAAAGTGACTCCATCTAATCTTATCTACCAGTGAAGATACTCCAACTTTTTAACGTATATGCTCGTTTAGCATTCTATCTCTATGAGTAAAGTCACTCATCTACCTAAGCATCCTCATCTCTACAATACTTAATTTAATTTTATGCTTCTCTTTTAAAGGCCATTATTTTACGCTTCTCCAACTTGGTTTTTCTTTGATTAACCATTAAAGGTCCACTCTATTGGTAAAATGAACTCAACTAACTATATAAACTCCATAGTTCCTCATTTCTCTACGCTTGCCATCGCCACCTTGCGTGACTAAATTCAAAAGCAAGTGAGAACAAGCAAATCTCCACGTGGCCTCTAGAAGACCACTTTGATCAACCATTGACCACAAAGCTTGAAAATTTTCAATTTTCTAAAACAAATCTCTTATGATTA